GGGGGGACCAATGCCACCAGCGCGTATGGCTATGAGCTTGCCCTCTACACCGAATGGAGCACTTGGTGGCAGGTGGACCTTTTGATTTTTCCTGACGTTGTTTTGTCCGCTTTCGAAACTGAAGATCCAAAAGCATCACCGCAACAGTTATGCCAGAAGTTGTGAAGATTTTGCCTTTGCATCTACACCCCCAACTCTTTTGCATCCCATCTTGACAACTCGAAGGTGTCTTACTCGCACTGCTCCACCTGCTCCGCCCTTGCTACCTCCTTCTTGTCCTCCGCAGCATCCCCAGACAGATTGTTTCTTCATGTTTCTTCTTAGTTTGGATTTATTCAGGAGAGGACTACCTGAGGATGATGACAAGGCGAGTTTTTTGGACCCAAGTTGCGAGTTTTCCAACCTAGAAGCTTCTTGTTACTAGTAGCGATGCCAGGAGCCCCTAGTAGCGTCCTTGCTCCTAGTAGTGTGGCCAGGAGCCCCTAGTAGCTTCTTATAGCTTCTTGTTACTAGTAGTATTGGCCTCCAACCTAATAGCGATGGCCAACCTACCAATGATGGCCTCCTCGCTTGGGAGCTGTAAACAGACTTGCAAGGCGCCTCCTCCTCCTGAGAATTCTCCTGGCGGCCTCTGCCCAGCTCCCCCGTTGACGCTTGAGACTCAGACAAAGCAGCCCCAGCGTTGTTGCAAAGGGATTCTGTTTACCGGTGCATTTGCTGGTTGAAACAACTCGTGAACCAACCCCAAAATTATACAGATCCTATCATTTATGTGCAGCATCACCTAGGCAGTTCTATTTACCAGCATGCTTTATGAATCTTTTTGACATGTGCTTGTACAACTCAACCAGTCCTGCGCCGGGCAATATCAACAGAGGCCCACCACGCTTGCAGCACCGGGAACTCTGCTGAGCGCAGCAGCACAGGCTGCAGAGGTGTGATTTCATTGCTCAAGAGACACAAATCATTTTGCTACTAGGAACAAGGGCATCGCTACTAGGGGCTTTTGGCCTTACTACTAGGAACAAGGACGCTACTAGGAGGTTTTGCAAGCAATGGATTCTCACCGCCTTTTCTCAGGCGACTGGTGCTCTCAACAAATTTGCCTCTGCTGATGGGACCTCAGAATTAGCAAAAGGGGAAGGATTTGGCACGTGTTGAGAAATGTCCATTTTTTCCAAGTATGCTCAACAGTTCAACAGTTCTCAACACGGTCGTGTGCACTTTTGGACGCAAAATGATGCAAACCCCGTGTGCAGCCTTCGACCCGTGGCCCATTGCTCTCTACGCAGCCACCCACTCCTTCTCAGGCGCCCAAAACGAATTCACAACAAACCAATGCTGCAGAGCCTTTTGTGGCTTCCATAAAGAAGACGTCTAGATGAAAAATGAATTTGGACTCCTTGACGTTGAGCTTTTGGCCCAAAGCAGAATTGCTTGATACTCATCCTCAGGAACTGTCACACGAACACACACACACATACACACGGGTGTTTTACTTTTATTATCTCTCGCTCTCTCTCTCTGTCTCTCTAGATAGAGAGTCATATACACAGATACACGACCACCAGTGCGAATCATGCAGCCAAGGCATATTGAAGTTTTGCGTTGTTTAATTTGCAATGTCGTGTGAAAACATCTCATGGCGGAGTGGTCAAGAACTGTTGAAGCAAGCCACTTTGGTAGAGGCGCATTTTGGGATTTCACGAAGAGAATCGTTGTCGGCTTTGTTCTTGGAACGTTACAGGTCCGACCAGGCCGGAAGCTACGAGTTTTAAGACAAGAACCTCGAGAGCCCAAAATGCGGACGTCTGAGCGTTTGTGAACATGCTTCGCGATGTTCTGACTAAGACGTGACAGCCTAGCCTCATCGTGCTCATCGTACTTTTACACAACTACCTGACATTTACAATTTGATGATAGAATATTATGGGGCTTACGACCAACAGAAGGCCAGCAGGGGGTTGAGTGGCAGGCGGCAGGGGCAAAGGTGGTTGTTGTGGTGGTGGTTGTTGCTTTGACCATAAACACAACCATAAACAACAAATGCAAATACTGCAAAAGCAACTCGAGCGGCCCATCTTAAGCCATCTTGACGGAGGGGGTACCCTTACGAACGTGTTAAAATATGATAATCTATTGAAAGCACGCTTTCCAAAAAACGCTAATATAAAAGCAGCGGGGTCCTGCGGACCTACTCAGGGCCAGCCCTGTGCTGGCCCGATCCTGGTGCTGCCGACCCTTATGCTTTGGAGACTGTGGCTAGGCCACTTGAAAGAAGTATTACTTCTTTCTTCATGCTTGCCAACATCCATTCATTCCCACCTGTTCCCGAGCAACTCGAATGCTTCGGTGCTGGCACGGCCCGCGTTCTGAGCCACCTCGTTCGGCATGCCATGCAGGGCCACGGCCATAGGCCTGGAAGGCGAAAGCCTTAGCTGATGTTGTTCTGCGTGCAATTGTGGCCGGAGAGCGCCACCCCTCACCATTGTTGTTTTGCGCGCGCGTGTGGCCGGAGAGGGCGCCAGATGGCAGCCTCGAAACGCAGTAGAGCAAGGTTGGCAAAGCCAAAGGTTAACGTAATTCTGCTCGGTCACACTCGGGCAGGAACGCTACCATGCTCGCATAGGCCCTTGATGTCGGACTACAACTTGCTATGCTAGTGGCAAAACATAGCGAAGATCTTTGAAAGCGGAGCTATGCAAGGTGGATTTCAAGTGGCTTTAATCTCATAGTCAACTTCTTGTACTTCTGAGGCCAACATGTTTGCTCGTGCATGGAAGTGCTGCATCTTTGACCCAATACTTGGCCCTGGCGGAGGCTTTGAAGACACTTGGAATCAAACTTTAGCTGGTATCCTTCATGTAAAACGTGAGGCTTCACAGGGCACTGGATAGACCACAGGGCTTGTGACAGGTTGGCCAGAAGAAACTAGAGTGCTTCACTCCTCTTGCTACCAATGTTAGATGGCAAATGGCCCGGGAACACAGACAACGTGCGCGCAAAACAGACCAATGTGTAACATCATGGAGATAGAGAGGAACCAATCTGATTGTAACGGCCTCCAATCTATTAGCAGTGGCCTCCAACCTAAGAGAATGAGAGAGTGAGAGAGAGAGAGAGGGAGGGAGGGAGGGAGGGACGGAGGGAGAGAAAATATTAAGAAACGGTCCTCCATGTCAGATTTTGTGCGCAATTGTCCTTAGATATCATATGGCAAGTCTACACATGCAAGATAACCGTCAAAAAGTTACCAGTGAACTTCTTCACCTGCAATGTAAGCATCCCAAAGTAGACCAACGAAGTGTAGACATGGATGTCCATGTGCTAGAGGCAGGCCTTCAAATAGCTGTAAAGTAGCAGGTCTTGAGCTAGTTTTTTTCAACAGAACCCTTTGCAGTGCTCCTGGGAAAATGCCATTTAAAGGGCCTCCGGCTCTGGGGTCAAACGTTTCTATTTTGGAGATGTGCAACATGTGCAGGACGCTGGGCTATGGTGTAGTGTGCTATGACTGGCTGGGGTGTGGCTTGAGCGACAAGCCGGACTGAGCGAACATGCAATGCAAACCGGGTGTTTTTAAAGGGTTCTTGTCCAAAATAGGGGAGCAAGGAGCAACAAACACAAAAGCGTTCTTGCAGAAAACAGCTGATGTAAAAGTCAAAAGTCTTGCAAGTTGTGGCTAAGTGTTCAGGGAAGGGGATCGCAGACCCACGGCAAAGTTGTTTGTCGCTGCAATTGGGTTCACTTCTGGTCAGGATCATTGGGAATCATATGCTTTTGACGAGCTTCTTTACGACCTAAAAGCGATTTGGGATGCGAAGTGGCCTGGGAAATATTTCGCCTGGGAGCTCAGATGAGAGAGTATAAAACCTCCCAGCACAAATTTGATGATCGCATGTCCGTCTTGCCAGAAGCATGCCCCATCCATGGTAAAGTGATAAAAAAGGAAAACAGTAGCCCTAGAAACTTTTGAACCCTCACGTGTTTCTCATCTCAGGTTTGTCACCCTCACAAAGACAACACATGTTGTGCTGCAGTTCTTGCGAATTAGAAAGCCATGTTTTTAACAGATACGATCGCGCAGTGAACCTAAGACAAATTCCTGTGGGCCATGGCCTGCGCACGGGATCGCCATTATACAGGAAGATCGAGTTGCTACTAGGCTACTAGTATGGAATGAACTGTGCCTCGATCTACTGTAACTGTAATCGTGTTGTCATGTTTGCCAGATTCCACACAGCGCATGCATGCAGTGCACGCAAATGTAAACACACATATTGCAGCTAGCAAAGCACTGTAAAGCGATAAGAAAGAAGAAAGCGCGGTAAATCTAACAGTGGTGTAGAGAAGTGGGATGGTTTTCAGACAACCTCAGATGCAGTTGCACAGTGATCCCAGACAGATGGTGCGCTTAGTCATAATCCCCCAAACAATCGAATTTATACTTTAAGCAGGCCTGTGACAAGCTACGGCTTTGGGCCACCAGCTCATGCAAACTAATCCGTCCAACCCAACCGTGGGACCGCAAATCATGTGCGATACGAAATGACTAGTTGGGACTGTCTTGGTTTGTAACGCAAGGATAAAGGTGTTGTTGGAAGAACAACTTGACCAGGATATGTAGATATTTTGGTGGCTTGCTTAGTAGCAGTGGGGCAGTGGAGGTTTGAGGGGGTCTGGTCTGGTTTTCTCAGACCCAAGAGTTTTCAAGAGTTCAGTTTGGCCAATGGAAAGCAGCTTACCCTCGTGAGGTAGTGGGACACTCCTTTGGAAGCCACTTGGTTCTTCGGCTTGGGGCAATGTTGGCAGACACCATGTTGGCCGGAGACACCATTGCTGGTTTGATTCTGTTGGGAGCAGCAAAGCAGTTCCCTGAAGGCAGGAGATGTATGTTTGTGTTGTTGCTTTAGACCCAAAGAGAGGAGTGCAGAAAAGCCAAAAAAGACGAAGAGTGCCTTTAGACTTGAGTTGCCAGGCCATCCAATCTTCCGACTCCCAGTGTTTGTCCTGCAGTGGCTGCAGCCGAGCCTTACAAAGGCTGCAGTTTCCTGCGTTTTGTTTGGATGTGCCCAGGACAGTTTTCCTGATGTTTCAGTCAGATATTTTCAAGAAAGGGGAAGTTGTCCAATGGTCCAAAAGCAAGAAGTCAAACATTGCAATGTGTAGGAAATTGCAGACCTACGACCCCAGTTGAAGAAGGGTATGGACCAATGGAGTATAGTCCAAGCATTCTCTTTGAAGTGTGTAAAAAGCACAACTGGCATACCATGCTTGTTCGGGCTTGCTAGAAATCATGCGAGGCCTTCTTGCAGATGGCGCTTGCTTCCAATGATCCAGAGCTTATTCAGCAGGAGACGGATGGCTGCAATGCGAATCCCATGTACATGTAGCTTGCTGGAGCGCTTTCTTCCTTCTAAAATCAGTTGGAGGCAATCGCCACTAGGGTAGAGGCCATCGCTCTTAGGTTGGAGGGAGGCATCAGGATCAAAAGAGAAAAGAACAGAATCAACAAGAACAACATAACAGGACCAATAAAAAAAATATGATAAAAAATCCTTACTAGGTCCCCTGGTCCTTTGGTCCCCTAATCCTCTGGTCCTTTGGTCCGCTGGTCCTTTGGTCCTCTGGTCCGCTGGTCCCTGGTCCTTCGGTCTCCTGGTCCTTCGGTCTATACTTGATTTGCATTGCGGGAGAGGCGGTGCGCCCTCCCCCGTACCCCCTCGCGCTTTCTTAAGAGTTGCCACTACCCCTGCCATTACCAGTACCTCCAACACCAGTCTCACCACAGTTACCACAACTACTATCTTCTTTGCGTTGACATTGACAGTGCCACAAAGGTGGATGATAAGGCCCACCTTTGCTTAGCCGTGGCTGCGCCCTCCCCCGCCCCCAACTGTTTTAATCTATCACCCCGACACCCCACTACGAGTGCTACCACAGGTACCACAACTACTATCTTCTTTGCGTTGACACTGCCGCAAAGGTGGGCGATAAGGTAACCGTGACAACGCCTGAAAGGAGGATGATAAGGCCCACCTTCGCTTAGCTGTGCCAGCGCCACAAAGGTGAATGGAAGTGCAGGCTCAGCTCTGGCAACCCATCAAAGTTGGATGATAAGACCTTCACCTTGAGCTGTGACGCCCAATTAAGCCAATCAAGAAACGAAGCAGCCCAGCGCTGTCTATACTTGATTTGCGTTGCGGGAGAGGCGCTGCGCCCTCCCCCGCACCCCCTCCCGCTGTTTTATTAGTTCCCACTGCCGTCCACTACCCCCACTATTACCAGTACTTCTATCACTCCGAGCACCCCGCCCCAGTACGAGTCTTACCACAGGTACCACAACTACTATCTGCTTTGCGTTGACGCTGCCACAAAGGTGGATGATACACCTTCGCCTTTGCCTAGCGTGACAGCCAGAATTTTTCGATTAGTAGGAAGCGCTGTGCCCTACCCCTACTACTTCCACCACCACCACCACCACACCACTACTACTACTCCTCCTCCTGCTGCTGCTGCTATGACTTCTACTACCGCTACTATTATTTCTACTTCTACTTCGACTTGGAATACTAATACTATTATTGCCACTACCACTACTACTAGTACTACTACTACTACTACCACTACTACTACTACTACTACTACCCCTACTACTACTGCTACCACAACTACTACTACTACTACTACTAAGTCGTACTACTTCCGACCACTACTACTACTACTACTACTTCCTACTACTACTACTACTACTACTACTACTACTACTACTACTATGGCTACCACTACTACTACTACTACCACCACTACGACTACTACTACCACTACTACTGCCCTTACTACTACTACTACCACCACTATTACTGCTACTACTACTACTACTACTACTACCGCTGGTACCACTACTACCACTACTACTACCACCACCACGACTCCCACTCCTAGTCCTGCTCCTACTCCCACGCCTACGCCTACGCCTACTCCTAACACTACGACGACTACTACTACTCTTCCTAGTAGTAGTAGTAGTAGTAGTAACTAGTAGTAGTAGTAGTAGTAGTGGTAGGAAGTAGTACGACTACTAGTAGTAGTAGTAGTAGTAGTAGTAGTAGTAGTAGTGGTAGTGGTAGTGGTAGTGGTAGTGGTAGTGGTACTAGTAGTAGTAGTAGTACTACTACTACTACTACCACTACCACTACTACTGTCCTTTCCCAATTCTTTTTCTATTCGTTGGAACATTATTGTTTTGATCATGTTCTTTTTCTTTTTGATCCCTCTTGACTATTTTTTGATGCTGATCTTTTATAATTTACCCGAAAGCATTGCGAAGGGTTCTTCCGGAAAATCTCTTGAACACTAACACTTCTACTTGCACTTGAACACTGACATTTCGACGCGTACACTTGAACACTTACGCTTCCACGCTTACACTTGAACATGAATATGAAGACTTACACGTCTATACGTATCCAAGTGTAATGTAAGTGTGAGTGTGAAAGGCGATGTCCTAATAAAGGGCATGTAAGAGTATGCATAAGTAAGAGTATGGAAAACTTGCACGGGAGATGTCCTAATGAATGAAATGAAAAACTTGCACGGGAGATGTCCTAATGAAAAAAATTTCCCCACTTTATAAATTCTCTCTTAAAGGCGGAGGGTGGGACGAACAGCGTCAACCGGAAATGCAACCCTCTGCGGAGATCGTGCGTGTCGTGTGCGCGAAATGCAGGCGAGAGTGCGATTGGGTCTGTGCCCGCGCAACCCTCTACGGAGATCGCGCGTGTCGAGTGCGCGAAATGCAGGCGAGAGTGCGATTTGTCCAGTGTGCGCGCAACCCTCTGCGGAGATCGTGCGTGTCGAGCGCGCGACATGCAGGCGAGAGTGCGATTGGGTCTGTGCCCGCGCAACCCTCTGCGGAGATCGTGCGTGTCGAGTGCGCGAAATGCAGGCGAGAGTGGGATTTGTCCGGTATGCGCGCAACCCTCTGCGGAGATCGTGCGTGTCGAGTGCGCGAAATGCAGACGCCCCCATGTCCGCGCAACCCTTTGCGGAGATCGTGCGTGTGGAGTGGGCGAAATGCGGGCGAAAGTGCGATTGGTGCGATGCGCGCGCAGCCCTCTGCAGCCGTGCAGTGAGATTTCCTGCAGCCGTTCGCGCTGCTTCTCGCCTTACCAGCAGCACAAACGCTCACGACGATGAGCTGGGCTAGAAAAGCTGTGTCCTGGAGTGAAGGAAACGTTCCCTCTGATCGTACATCGATGGACGCATCTCCTCTGACAGGTCACTGCTTCGACAAACTTGTTGCGTACCTGCCTCAGCAATTTTCTGTGTTCATTCCAGCTCGCTTTTTTCAGTGAGATTTCCTGGAGGCGTTCACGCTGCTTCTCCCCTTACCAGCAGCTCAAATGCTCACGACGATGAGCTGGGCTGTCACCGCTTGGCCGCCGGTGGGGGGTTTGGGAGGCACTTCGTTCGCTATATCTACAGTGAAGACCTTCACCAGCAGCAGACATGGACACACACACAGACAGGGACTCATACACACACACACATCACACACAGAGACCCACGCGCTGCCTCAACTTACTCGGACACACACTCACAGACAGAGACTCATACACACACAGACATAGATACACACACAGAGACCCACACACTACCTCAACTCACTCGACTTAACACTTCACACAGAACACTTAACAGATAACTCACACTCTGACTTCCTACGTGATGAAAAATGCTTTCGGGCCACTCCTCGTCTAGTTTGATCCCTCACCCTTGGGAGGAGCGTTTTCTTCCTTCTAACTTCGAGTCTCCACCTACCAGCGATGGCCTCCAACCTAGAAGCAATGGCCTCCACCCTAGTAGCGATGGCCTCCTTCTAACTTCGAGTCTCGAATTCGGCTGTTTTTGTGTCAAATGAATGCACAATTTGTGACCCTGGACTTCCTAGGTGCAAAGCCTATTACAGACAGGTGAGAAATGTCAGTGATGACGAGATTGCCAAGTGCCGCAGTCTTCCCAGTTTGCTGATTAGAGGCGACTGTAGCATACTTTGAACCCCTTAGCAGTTCTGAGCGTGTTGAATGTGTGGAACACTGCTTTGAACTTTTACATCTAGGAAGTTGGTGAACTGCATTTAGCCATACTAATTTCGTGCTTCCCTTGAGCCTCAGGTGGCCAGGATGGCATTGTCTCTGCCTCGGACGTGGAGGCCCTTGCTGTAGCAATGCCACTGGCACAGATGAAAACTGTGGCGAATGCTGGCCACGTCCCGATGCTAGAGGAGCCACAAAAGCATAACTACGCTCATGAAACCACGTCCAACAACAACTTATGCTGTTGTGGAGAAAGAATTTACAGAACTTTTGCAATCCTTTACATAAGCATCTTCAAAATTGTTTTCTCAAAAGCACCCTGCAGGAACCGGGCAAGGTGGCAGACCCTTGGCCACTTTATGCTGCTTGCTACTTCAAAGTTCAGTTGCGGAGAATTGCTTGTACCTCCAAGGAACTGATCGACGAGTTCATCAAGTCCATCTGAGGTTTGAAATCGCTGTAGCAGTAGCATGTATTCGATCAGGCCTTTTTGAAACCCATCTTGAAGGCCACATTTATCCTGATCAATTGGGGTAAATTAAATAGTTTTCACTTGTCACTTGGTCCCTCAAAACATGGAGGGTCTGCAAATTTGATTCAACAAGTGGAAAATGCTGCTTTGATCACGCGCGGCTTCCTATTTATTTTGTTGACTCTTGAGCAAGTTGTGCACGAGTTGCCTACACACATCATGTTTGAAACCAACAATCTTTAGAGGCCGACAAGCGGCCTAGTCGAGCCCTTAGCTACTCCCGCAGGTTGATATTTGCAAAGGAGTTCTCAGCTAATTGAGTTCTCATTCTGTTCTAACTCATCTAATTTGCATGTGGTGTTTCTGACAAGGACGGCCATTCAACTTGACCTCAGGTGAAGCGCTGCCAGGACCACCTGGCACATTCTTCTCGAAAAGCTCGACGCCTAGATTCTAGATGTTTTCTTCCTTAGCTTGACAGAGAGATGCTCTCAATGCAAAACACTCACGACACCATAAGTCTTGTCTTTGTGCTACTATTTTTCTTTCTTCAAGATATGGAGGGGAGGGACATGCTGTGTGGTGGAGCCAGTGTACAAAGCTTTCAGGCGAGACCTGCAGGCAGGAAAGTTTGAGAGAACTTGAGTTGCTTTGGTATCAGAAAATTGAGTCATTGAATACTTGATGCTCTTAACCAGATCTCAGGCCTACGGCATCTTCAGGTTCACCCAATGTACCACTTCTGGGTACAGTGTCGGTGGCTGAGGTTTTACAAACACGCTCTGGAGTCCCTCTCAAAGCACTTCTCTTTCCGAGAACAATTCCTGGCCTAAAGCAAAAGTCATGCGGTTTGTACCCGACGTCTTCCCATGCAACGAGGCCAACATCCACTGGATCACTTCCTCGTCTTCTCGGGAGCGCTTCTTTACTCCGTTGTTTCAAAGCAGAAAAAGTATGGTTCACGTTTTTGGGAACAAATTATGGCTCAGATCCAAGTTTCTGCGACCGCAAATAACCACCGACAAGTACTTGGAACCTATTTTGGAAAAACATGGATTCTATTTACGCGGCTGGAGACATTGACCCAAAAAACAAGATTCTTGCTAGCGTGCACTTCCAGTGGTTCTAAGTGAGAGTTCCGGAAGCTATTTCCCGCTTGGCAGGGCACATGATTCTTTCCAGGTGGTGTGGCCAAGCCTAAACATTTGGCTCAATTGCAAGGCAGTCACGTCAGTCGATGCAAGCAATGGTGGCAGGGGAGACGTTGCCATCAGAAATCATTGCTATCATTTTCTTTGGCCTTCATCTTGATGGAGGTTGTAGGTGTGATGCTGCACAAAGGTTCAGACTTTAGCTGCTATGCCATAGCTGGCATGGTGTGATGATGTCAACATATCTACATGGCAAGCTTTCACAGGCTTGTTTAGGATTGAAAGCATCATTGGGCTTCAAATTCAGTTCATTATCCTTTCTGCTTTCATATTGCAGCAGGTTCTAAGTATGGTGCTACTCCAGGGCCACCTTAATTTAAAGAATCACACATCTATCAACATCTTAAACCGGTTCATCATCTAACTGGTTCTAGGTGTGCGGTTGTGTCTATTCATCACTAATTTTACGTATATTTCTTTACAAGTTCTAAGCAATGATTTTCATTTCGGGAAAATTTAGCGTTCTAAGTATTCGTCGGTAACTAGACATAACTAGACTATACATGCGTAGGTGAGCTTGGGAAACTTTGTTGGAAGCACCTGAGGTCCCGTGTGCAGAACAATGTGGCCCTGTGGCACATCAACACCACAGCGCAAATCACCACACACTACATGACCGCCATTCGCGTTGCAAATCATCATACTACCCTAAACCACATAGCAAATCACCATGGCATCATCGTGCACACATCACGCATCGCCGCACCGTGTGAAAGAGCGAATCTTCTTTGTGGCACCCTGTTGCACCAGCAGAACAGCAGCAGTGACCATACAATTTAAGTTCACTTGCATGTGAACCACTTGTGCTCTCAAAGACAACGTGCAGCCAGACGCAAAGAACTCGAACTCGTAGCTTCCACAGTGGTGATGCGCGAACTTAAAATCGACTGGTCAGGTCATAGAGTCATACGCATTCGTCGTGAAGCCGCTGTGCTTGTTCTCCAGGAATCGCGGCCCTCCTCCAGGCCTTCCTCATCCAGCGAAGGTTGGTCTCATGACTCAAACTGGAAACAGCAAAGTTGGGCATTGAGCCTCTGAGAAGAAACGTAAGGGGACCCTTGTTGAAGGTTCAACATGGTCACAAGCGATGGCTTGGTTCATTTGGCATTGCTGAGTAGGTGGCTTTGTTTTTCTCCCGAATGCGTAGCGAACGGTTCTCGTTTAACTCCGCGGGTCTGGGGGTAGAGCCTTGTTCGCGACTCGTTGTCTGAGCGTTCGCAACCGTCCGCCGCCGTTCGCAACCGTTTGCGGTAGGGTGCTATGGCGCTCACATTGGGGAAGCTTTTGGAGAGGGTTTCGGATGGAAGCGTGACGAGAGTATCCCACAAGAGTGTCCTACAAGGGTGTTCCGCAAGAGTGTCCTACAAGAGTGAGTGTCATACAAGGTGTCCCACAAGTTCCGCAAGAGTGCACAAGAGTGTCCCACAAAGGCTTCCGAAAAGAATGCGTCCTACAAGAGTGCACAAGAGTGTCTCAGAGTGTCAAGAATTGTTTGGGTGCTTGTTTTCAAGTACTTGTTTTCAAGTACGTGTTTGCACTCGGGTTCGTGGGTTCCATCTTGTTAATTTTGTGGCAGGTGGTCGACACGCCGATTCTTCAAACAGAGCCTGTTCGCATCGAGTGAAGCTTGAATTGGAAGACTGGAAGAAGAGTATGATGGCACAAAGCAAGGATTGGAAATCGTTACGGAACGCAAGCCGCCTTTACACAAGACCTGATGTTTCTTGTGTCCTTTTGCAGAGATGCCATCACCTGTGACAGATTGTTTGCCTTGCATTGCTCAAAACGCTGGCTTGGACTGTGAATTCGGTTCTGGGATGTTCTCACTTAGCAGCCGAGCTGCAGCAAAGCGCGCAAAAGTCGTGCGGCTGTGAGTACATCCTGAGGGCTTTGCTACACCCACAAAGCAAGCCCTTGGCATGCAGATTTTTCCAGCTGCCCAAAGAGGATACGGCTGGAGACAGAACTTACAGAGACGGACATTTGGGGATCACATACTAGCAGACAGAAGCTAAAGACTTTTGTAGTAACGAACCAACATACTGAATGAACAAAAGTACAATCCTTGTCTCGTAACGAGGCAATTCTGGAAACAAAGCTGCTGAGAGTGACTCCCAGACTGTCGCAGGGCAGGTACTTAGTATCTCCCCGAAGGTCTTCTCGCTGTGGCGGCCTGTGGTCTTCTCAAGCTCATTCTTTGCGTTTTTGCAACTCCACTCGCTCAATATTTGTTCTTTGGTCATGGAAGCCACAGCGGTCTCCAGCTCCTGCATAGACTTTTTTGTGCACCTGAGCTGTTGTACTAGCATGGAATGAACAGTATGGAGTGTGCGCACTGTAAACTGAATGACACCTTTGGCCAAGATGGGAACGTTGTGCTGCCCAAACACATTCAAGGCTGGTCGTAAAAGTATATACAGATACGTGCCATCATGTGATTGTAGCTTTGTTTATGTTTTTGTTCAGCTTTCTTCAATTGCTTTATGTCCAAGTACTTGGTCAAGGCATTTTCTGCAGCGATGCTTGCTGTTGCCAGCACTGCTGTGTAAAAAATGTGCAGCCACTCGAATGACAATTTCAATTGCAACGATGCTTACAACCAGCCAGTGACAAACAGCGCCAGAATTCTGACTTTACCTTCATGAAAACTGATGAGGCAAATAAGGGGCCCCTTTAAAGGGCCCTTGCGTTTTTTCTAATCTCTTTATATGCAAGTCCAATGGGTTCAGCCACATGTGCCTGAGCCGCTGTCCTTGAACTTCAATGTTTTGCTGAAGCAGTCGATTTTTCAAGCGATCTATACTTGCTCTTGCTTGCTGTTTGTATGTTTACTCACATCTCCAGCCTAGAGCAACCATTCTTTATGCATTCCTCGGGATTCTTGAAGCTCGAACCGCGGGGAACACAGCAACACAAGCGTGAACACAGTGAAGTAGATTCGAGAACACTACCACTGACATATGTGCCGCCTTAGGCGTAGCAAGAAGGTTTCTTGTGACTGCGCATGACTACGCCATACTAGGTGCAAGACCGTATTCTTAGCTTGGATGCATTTCAACCATCTTGGCTGCGCAAGCTCAGATCCATCTTTCTACAGGACACCTCCAAGCCTGAGGCGTCGCGAGTGCTCGCAGTCGACCTGTTGACACTGAACATCACTGTGACCCTTGCCTCAAGAACATGATAGGCCAAAGCGGCCAACGGCAATTCGTTCAAACAGGTGTCAAAAATATGAGCTGCAACCTTCCAGGATTTGGCACTATGACGGACTAGTGAAGAGTGTTCAACTGGCCTACAAGACTGGTTGTACAACTGGCCAGTTGGCCAAGGATTTCAAATCATTTAACATGTTGGCCCACTGTGTTGAACATGGGAGACTCATGGATTGCTGTATTTTGCTGTTGTGTTCCACATTCGGAAGTGGAGCAGTGCAAATGGCTTCTAGTCATGCAGCATGGCTCATGTGTTCTCCATGCTAGCACCCCTGCGGAGAGTAGTGCAGTCGAAGCATGCTCTCCAGATGATACTTCCCTAGCTGCGAGGCGAAAAACATCACTGAGCGAAGGAGTTCGGCATACATTCAGAATAACAGCATTGACAAGTTTTGATGAAAGTGTTGGCTTTATCACCATGAGAATTGACAAGCCAACCTTAATTATATTGGTAGGCCATAAGTCTTGGTAAGAAGAACCCTTTGGAAGGAGTGCTGGTCTGAACTATTGTTTGCATACATTTAGAGCATCTTGGCTCCACACACTTGCGCTGCGAACCTCAGTCTGGGTTTCTCCAGATTTAGCTCTGCGTTTGCACAGCTGACGCTGGGTGCTCAGTGTCCTCCCAGATGACTTTGTGACTATTTGTAGTAATTTCCATTCAGTGAATGCCATCTTATCATAAATGATCTTCCAAGTACATTGCAGCCAAATGCAATGAAAGCAGAATCGGATTCTTCAAGAAACACTGAGCAAGGCAACTAACCGCCACGTAGTCTGATCGATTGTTCCCAAAATCAATGTGACCTTCTTGGCCAAAACGGTGTGTAACGAAAACGCGTGTCGCAAACGATTGGCTTGTACAACGATGGCAGTGACGTGTTCTCGAACAGTCAATCGCAACCACATCACTTCCACAGAGCAATTAATGCAAAGGCATGGCTGCCAATCAGAGTTTCCATGCAAGTAAATTTTTGTACTGTTCTCAAAAATACAGTGACGAAAGCAATTGTAGAATCGTACTCAAGTTCAGATCCGGAGCATGGCGACATGAAGTGTTTGAGTTTAAGTACGGCTAAACAGGGTTCGAGGTTCACGGCCTCTTCCAATTCAATCTACTGTAACATGAAGAGAACAAAGCGTGCAAGAAAGTCGTTTTCTTCGTGCATTCTCTTTTGTGGATGGTTGGACGTCTCATTGTAACATCCCACTATCCAACACTGTCTCACAAAGGTGGATTTTCCAACTATTAGACTGTTAGACCCATCGCTGTTTCGAGTGCTTGAAAAGCGTCAGAGGTTGATTTATCCATGTGAGGCAGGGCTATGGCAGGAACTGGTGGATGTGAGTCGCGTGACGAGGATATTGCTTCAAACTGGCACCGTGCATGTCTTTCTTGTTGCAGAGCGCTAGTAATTATGCTGCCATTTTGGACAAGATCTCCTTTCAAGGAAGAGGTTGAGCCCATGCATGCATGGCTGCAGTCCATCCGGATGCATCTTGAGGCCACGGAACATTTATATTTCGGTCAGCAGCATGCCAGTATATGCCAGTGTTTTTTTGATCTCCAACACAATACCTGGTATATGTGTTAGGCTGCCGAGCTGCGGGAAGTTCTGAGACAATCTGATGAGCGACAGAAGCAGCTGCAGGCTGAACTTCAGGAGTCTGGCAGGAAAACGAATGAGAAACAAAGAAAGGGTTCTTGTTACGAGTAGCCAGAGTCCATTTTGTAATGGAGGGCTATTTTGGGAGGGATTCTTGTGGCCCATTTAGGGTATTTTTCTTCGATTCGCTCTCCCCCGCGTTTTTCCTGCTTCTTGCTGCTTTTCTTGCTTTGCATTGCTTCTGTGTGATTTCTCATGCTTTTCTTCCATTTCATGCCTTTTCTCGTGCTGTTTGTATTGCTTTTCCTTGCTTCTCTACTGCTTTTCTTTACTTTCCTGCGTCTTGTCTTCTTGTGGCGTATTCTTCTGCTTTCCATGGCCTTTATTGCCGTTGCTTTGTATTTGTTGCTTCTCAATTTGTCTTGCTTTTCTGGCTTCCTATTCTTTTCCTACTTTTACGAGAGCCAGCTGATAGGCTAGGCTGAAGCGCTGTTTAGGCCAACGAAGTGAGTTTTAACCCGTCTCCAGGGACACTACTCTACTTATTCACACTAACTTACCTTTTTGCGCAGGCAGGGGGCAGTGACAGAGCTTGTGGAATCACTGCCAACGAAGACGTCCACACTTTCTGGTGAAGCATCGGAAGACGTCCTGATGTGTACCTGCATTTGTGAATCTTGTCGAATCGTTGTGAACCTGTGTATGGCCAATGCTGTCTCATGCGTTGTTTCCGCGTTAAAGGGCTAATGAAGCGCTAATGCAACAGCGAGATCTCCACTGAAACTCTGCTCTTTAGAGCTCTTCTCTGAAGTGTGTTTTGCAAGGTGTGTGATCAGCACAGAAAGGGCGTTACTGAGTCTTTACCCCTACATAGGAGAGAACTTCCTGAAAGCCCTTTTTGGACCAACTTATGACGCAGAACCTCTTATTGGAATCACATCATAGAATCCGTTTCACCTCTCGAATGATGAATCCATGCTGCAGAGCTACGGTAATGTACTGAATGCATTCGTTTCACCCAGAATACTTCATGTTCCAGTTTTAATCCGAATGCGTCCAGATTTTTGCAGTCACTTTTCTTTCCTTCCACGTGTTTTTTTCTTCTCTGCTTTTTCTCTCTTCCTACAACGTTGGGCCGTAGCCTAGGCTTTTTGCAGTCATTTTTTCTCTCCTTCAGATGCGTTTCTTTTCTCTGCTTTGTCTCTCTTCCTAGAGGCTTGTTGGGTGTAACTCAGGTTGCGCCGGGCTCGGCTTCTTTGTGTCAAACTTCACATGACACTGTTCCAGATGGAACTCTCAATTAACTTGCCGTTCATTTGGCACCACTGCTCGGAATACACCCAATTCTTTACAGTCAGTTTTTTCTTTCCAGATGCGCTTCTCTTCTCTGCCTTTTCTCACTTTCTAGAGGCTTGTTAAGTTTTAGTCAGGGGTTGCGCAAGTTTTTTGCAATTTTTTCTCTCCTTCCACTGCCTTCCACATGCGTTTCTGTTCTCTGCTTTTTCTCTCTTCTAAGGGCTTGGTTTGTCGTAACTCAGCTGCAGTCGTGTAGTAACTCAGGCCTCTTGCATGCCGCTAGAGCACTCTATCTCTTTCTTTGCTAAAGCTTGTTAGGTGGCTATTCAGGATTTTTCCTCGACTGGCTGCGCCGAAGTCTGCTCTGTGTGTGTGTGTGTCACACTCTGTCCCAAAGAGTTTTTGTTCCATGCAGGGGGCGCCAAGGACCGTGCAAGTCTGGCACTAACAAAGACGCTTGCGCTGGTCCGTGAAATCAATCCGACGCCGGATTGACGTACCTGCTTCGAACACATTGACACCAATGGTCCACCCTGCCGCTGTTCGTTGGTTCCATGGTTTTTCTTCACGATACCTCCCCCAAATCTTTTTCCCACCGCCGCCTTCAGCCGCTCGCGAGCTGCCGTTGAGATTCTGCAGATGCGCGTGAACCATTTTTTGAAACACCTTCAAGTGTTTGGACGCCTCGCCTTTCCGTTAAGCCATTCCTTTCCTTGTGGGGCAGAAGTATATAACTACAAACGCATTATCTAAGTGCGTGGACGTCTCGAAGTCGTCCACATGAATTTCGACTGCGTAGGCTCGCGAAATCTGGGTGGCCGCGGCCGGTGATTATGGTGATCACTTTTCGGGGCAGGCGCAAGGGAAACCTCATGTTTTGGTGGTCCAAAGTCGACTTTCGTGACAAGTGCAAGGGTTCGAAGTGCAGATTTCGTGGCAGGTGCAGCGCTTTGGCACGGTGGTGATCGTCGAGGTGCTCTGATTTCGAAGTGCAGATTTCGTGGCGTGCGCAGTACCATGTGAACTTCGATGTCAGAATTCTACGCAGCGCAGCCCTTTGTGCTCCCAGATGCTCAATCTCTCACTCTCACTCACTCACACAGGCTCACCCTCACGCTCACTCTCACTCACACCCACTCTTCACTCACATTCACATTCACACTCACTCTCACTCACTCACTCTCACTCTCACTCTCACTCTCGCTCTCACTCTCACTCTCAGTCTCTGTCTCACTCTCACTCTCACTCTCGCTCTCACTCTCACTCTCACTCTCACTCTCACTCTCACTCTCACTCTCACTCCACCACCATCACCTCTCTGGACCCCAGTGCGTCTAGATCTCTAGACATTTTGCTTATAGACCTCACACACACACACACTGTTTGGGGTCTCTTGCCGGGATAATTATTCTTTTTCTCTCTCTTGCCGGGATAATTATTCTTTTTTTCTCTCTCTCTCTCTCACTCTCTCATCGCGCTTCTCAAAAATATCCCTCATTTGTATATATATATATATAAGCCGATGTGTTCGACGTTTGAGCATCGCGGCCCAAAAGGAAGCGGCCCGTTCGGTCCATTCGAGCATATCCGTTGATCATGGTAGCGTAAGTCTGGTTGAACTGGGCACAAATCGAGAAAGTGTACCACCTCGCTTGAAGGTTGATGGGTTCCCCTACCGGACAGGGGATGGATCCTTTGCTGGACCTGCAGGCGCAGATACAGGTTCAGCAGGAGATGTTGTTGAGCCACCAACAGCAGATGATGCAGTTGCAACATCAATTGCAACATGCGTTCGGCCGTGCTGCAAGAGCTGAAGAGGAGAGGAGCATTGCATTGAGGCTGGCCGGATCGCAGAAGAGCGAGTTGGTGGATACAAAAGGTGTTGGACAGCCCTTCAAATTTTCTGGTAAGAGCGACCAGGATTTTTCGGAATGGGTCTACAAGTTCAAGACCTTTGCTAAGGCCAAGTTTGGTGGGGAGGTTGAAGTTGTGTTGTCATGGGCTGGCAAGCAGCGCAAGACCATTGTCAAGGAGGCCCACTTTGGAGAGACGAAGGTGGTGACTCGGAATGACGTGTTTGGCAGCGCTGCAGACGACATCGAGAAGATCGACGACATTGACAGTATGTTGGAAGGTCTTGGAGCCTATTTGACTTCATTTACAACAGGTGATGCCAACAGAGTGGTCCGCAATTCAGGTACAGACAGTCTTGAAGCCTGGAGGAGGTTGATCAATGAGTATGACCCCACGAGCTCAATGCGGCGTGTCACAATTTTGAGCATGGTTCAAAACCCCAACAAGTGCAAGTCGGTTGAAGAGTTGGGGAGTTCGCTTGAGCATTGGTTGGCAAAGAAGAAGCAATATGAAGAGTTCACAGACAATGCAGGCAATCCTTGTGTTGTGTCGGCTGATTCATTGATTGCCGGGCTTTACAGGTTGATGCCGGAGTCGCTTGAGGAGACCTTCATGCTGAGGGCAGATGAGTTCAGCGACTTCGAGAGCTTCTTCGACAAGTTGAGCAGCTATGCCACCACCAGGCATTCCCTCAATCTCAGCAGGAGGGAACTTGGAACAAGCCGCAACAAAGGTCCCAAAGATGATCCTATGGAGTTGGGAGCATTGATGAAGGGCGGCAAAGGAAAAGGTGGCAAGACCGGCAACAATGCCAACAAGATGACATGCCACGCCTGTGGCAAGTTGGGGCACAAGGCATCAGAGTGCCGAAGCAAAGGAGGAGGCAAGACATCCAACAAAGGAGATCCACCAAAGAGCAAGAGGATGGACAATGTGCAATGTTGGGTGTGCATGAAGTATGGCCACTATGGAAAGGGTTGCTGGAGCAATACCGGCAAAGGGAAAGGCAAGAGTGGTCAGAAGGGCAAGTCCGATGGAGGCTTCAAGAAGGGCAAGGGCAAAGGAGGCTCAGCAAATTCAGTTGAAGATGGACGCCAATCGTCGCAGCAGCCTGAGAAGGAGCCGGAGTTGTCGCATTTGGACCTTTCAGCCATTGGCGATGGAGAAGGTGAGCATTTCCAGGTCTACTCCCCGCTTGGTCCAGACGAGGAGCGAGAGGAGGACGCGCTTTTCTCAGATGTTGGAGGAGCGCCAGGAGATCCAACGACACCTGGTTCAGAGGCTGTTGAGATTGAGCGTGAGGATGCTGAGGAGGAGACAGTCGAGGCATCCAGTCAGAGGCCGAGGAGGAGAATCTTCACTGGTGTCCCATCCATCAGGGCGAGCCAAAGCCGAGATAGAGCAGTCGGAGTTGACTTTTCGAGGACGCCTGATTGGACACCATCGATCCCGCCTGGACTGACCCGCAGTGGAGATGATAGTCGAACGAGGAGTCGATCCCGAGGAGGAGAACCAGCCCAGGAGTCAGCGTCAGTGCATGAGGACGTGGACCACAACAGCATGAACACCGAGCACGAGGATGGATCGCCCACCTACCTTTGCAGTGTGGAGGGCGAAGAGTGGTTGAAGTTGAACTATGATTCAGGAGCTGTTAGCGCCGTGATCCCCATCGAGATGGCCGTGGCCCAGGGCTTGCAACTCCGACGTGTTGCAGACTGGTGCCTTGCATCGATGAGCAGGGACATCGACGTGGGTTCAAGGCAACAGTGACCCATGTCCACAAGCCGCTTGGATCTGCGGGTGAGTTCAGCGCCACTCACGACGCCTACATCTTCGACGATGGAGGATGGTTGATCCCCAGGAACACCAGCATGGCCCAAGCCATGAGGGCCTTTCTTCAGCAGCTC